CATAGAGAAAAACAAGGTAGTAGTCAACATAGTTACAATGTTCTTGTGAGTGTCACTTGTTTTGGCAGCACTTGCTGCACCTCCCACAGCCCATTAGCTACCCAGGAAGGAACTAGGGAGAGCGATAAGGTTAACTCTAGAACCGCTCCCTACATATGAGTACTTCCAAAAGATATTTTGTTCAATGAGGTAAAGTAAAAATACTTCATGAACACAATTGACAGGCAGGGACTGCCATACCCTTGACCATAGGTGTCAGGAAGTCCACACGGGGCAATTCTAAGAACCAGGCAGCTATGAAGAGAAATGAACAGCTTTCGCATCAGTGGTGAAGAGAAGTCTGCTCTGCCCAGGAGGAGACAATCAGAATTCTTATTTATTGGGGTTTATGGAACTTTAAAAGAGGAAGTACAAAAATGACTCAAAATCCCCACATGAAAAAGAATATTGATTTGAGGGAGCAGGAGATGCTAATGCACATCACATCAAAGAGGCTCTAAGTAAAAATAACAAGCAGCACAGCAGAGAACGGAAACTGTGGCTCTCCCCCCACCCCCAAGAGTCTCTGATCTCCCCCCACAACCCCAAAAAACCCTGCACACGTATCACAGGAGCCCCATTTGAACTTGAGCCCTGGTCAGTGTGTGTCTCTGTCCCAGAGCAATCGAGCTCATCAAGTCACTCAGAAATGCCTCCGCTATTTACTGCAGGGCCCTGAGGCCTGTCCCAGGCTAGCTCTTGGCCCATTGCTGCTTGCCTATTATAGTTCCTTTAACTAAGTAAAACTGGGCATTTCAGAGTGTTTATTTTTTCACTGTAGCATAGATCAGTTTAGAGCCATCTCTGCTGGCTATTGGATTGCAAACATTATAAGTTACCAGGAATGAGAGTCTGAGCCTGGTGCTGACCAGATCACCTTCAGTCAATCCTGTGCTGACTATAAATTGATTCATACTATTTATGACAAATGTCAATCCATTGCTGAACAGACGCTGTGCATTGAATTTTCGTTCTACCACAGTTACCATACTTAAAGATAATCTATACGTGAAATCTGAGAAATTATTTTTTAAGTTGATTTGACAGAGAGATACTGATTTGTTGTTCACTTATTCATGCATTATTTGTTGCTTCTTGTATGTACCTTGACTGGGGATCAAACCCGCAACTTTGGCATATTGGGTCGATGCTCTAACCAACTGAGCTACCTGGCCAGGGCCAGGGGAAATGGTTTCTTGTCCTCAAGATTATCACTGAGGAACATTGCTAATAATTCTATACCTCCTGTAAGAGGAATTATAGAAGCAAACTTCACTGGTAAGGAGCTGAACTAATTTTCCCCAAATTGTAATCTAGCCCCTGTTGAGACTATAGCTTGTGTTTGAGATGGTGGCTAGCTGGGATTGGCTGTGATTGTAGGTCTTTATGGGTTATTTTGGGCTAATCAACTGAATTAACTTCTGTTTCTAAAACCTATGAGCACCATAGGAATTTTTTAATCGCTTTCAGAGGGTAACGTGTGTCACTTTCTTATCTTCTTCACTGCCTTTCTCCATAGAGGACATAGAAGAAATTTTCAAAATGAAAGTATAAGAAAGACCTACTAGTTTTTTATAGTAAAGGGGATGCAAGAAACTAGAGACACAAATGACCAGGGAGACTGGGTCAGAAGGCTGGATCAAGGACAAGATCAATCCTCATAGGCATTTATGGCAGGTAAATAATGACTCTCCCTCACACACAAACAAGTATTCACATCCAAGAGGTAAGCTACCTGGGGAACTACTTGAGTAACTCGAAACTGAGGACACGTGGAACTCGTTTCTTGTCTTTCTAGAGGCTCCTCAGATGGTGTTCCAGGCATGTGT